GCCTGAATTTCTAGAATTTGATGCGGCATTACAACTCGAGTATTAAGCAGTTGTTATTGATTTTTGAAAGTAAAGAAGTGAAAATAGTGTATGAAAGAAGAAAAATGGATAATAGACAATAATGAACAAATGGGTCAACTAAGGCAGGCAAGAGAAGCCAGCGATAACAGAAAAAGAAAAACTGTAACTCAAAAATTTATGAGAGTACGTAGCTTTCCTGCTAATGAAAACAATCTTTTTCTCTAACTTTAGTGGAAGCATCTCTCAAGAAAAATGAGAAGTCTAATGGCGTACAAACAGTTCTAAACTTCGAATCACAATCACTAGAAAAATTCAGCCATAACACATAGCAAATGCTTGCTACAACGCTTAGTACAAAAGTGTTTCGTCAGAAAAGCTAGCTGTTTTCTCACGGTTCGTTCCGCTGTTATTTTTTACACTGTAGATGCAAGGCCTCCTGAACTGTTACGCTGTTATAGTGCAGAAATAGCCTATAGCACCGCACAATACACTTATTCAGTACAAACTAGAGCATTTTTCCCTTTTGCGTGAAAGCTGGCTCAAAAAAGAAAGATATATTCTTAAGCAGCCAATTATAATAAAAATGAGGCGAGATATTCGAGGAACAAATCGACTTTTAGTCATTTTTTAGGTATTACTTGATTTTTAGCCTCTATATATGCTTTCATGTTCTCTATTGGTTAGTCGCATAATAACTGGTGACCTTAAATTCAAGAAAAATCATATTTCATTTTCTAGAAAATTGTTGATTTTTCAAAAAATGGTTCGATTCTATGGAAAATCAGGGAATAATTTTTAGAAATTCAAGCGATATTTCAGATTATAGAAAATGTTTAAGAATTAATAACACCTAGAGCTTTTATTTACTGTAAAATACTCAACAATTCTATAAAAATTAGAAAATGCTTGACGATTTTATGATGAATCTTCCATAAATTTGAAATTAATTTCCTCTAACCTTGTAGTAATTTAGAATCTATACAAATTGTAAACACGTAAAAACATTCGAAACAGCAAAATGTTTCAAAGCGAATTTTGTCAATCACTAGAGGAATGTTTTAGCTTTGCTTTGAGATCAATCCGAGTTGACTATAACTGTTCCTTATACCCAACATTTCGTGGAATTTTCACTCATATTGGAATTTTGTTGAGCAAAATAGATTTCTGGCATGGAAGCGTTAAAAGCAAAAAGTGAAAATGATTTGACAAATCCCAAGTGGATTTAAAAACTTTTATAAGAATTAATACTTGACAATAATCGTATATACAGGTCGAAAATTTGTATTTTGCACAATTTTTAATAGATTCTTAATTATGCTCAACATAACCAAGGATGTTACAGCGAATACAATTTTAAAATTTCTATTACGGTGTAATTTCTAGGCCTTTTCTTAACGTACGAACAATTTGTTTTTTTAATATAAATTTTTGTTTGTTAATCATCTATTGATATTTGGCTTCTTTCATGTGTTTACTGTGTCACTAACCTTTATATAAACATACGATTTAAATCCTAACTAAAAAAATATATTTACTGTTTTATTACAACTGCTATATGGGTCACCATCATCAACCAGACAGAGCTAAACTCAGTTAAAAAAATAGAAGTCATGGACTTTTCTTCGTTGTAATTTCATGAAAAACATATTCTATGTTTAATTATTAAACTTACAAGATATGCACGAATTTTTGAGAGTGATGGCAATTTTTTCTTTCTATCATAATGTAGCCGTGACTCTCCTCTAGCTAAAATATGAAGTTAAAGTGTTAGCTCTTAGCAGTTACCGAAAGAGAGCCATTTCACTATCAAGGATCACTTTTTAAATATAAGATCCTTTCAGAAAAAACTTCACAACTCAGCCTAAGAACATTATTTTCACTTCAAAAATTGCATCAAACACTCCCCAGTGTGTGTGTAGATTATTCTCATAAAATATAAAGGTTAATTATTCTATGGTTCGACAGATTCGTTGAGAACAAGCACCCACTATTGAAACATTCTTAGGAGACGATTGCAAAGAATCAAAGGAAGTCGTCAAAACTACGAACAAATCAATCGTAGAATAATGTAAAGCGCTCCTCTGTGATGTTTGTATAAGAGAGAAAATATGTAAAACCTATCTCTTCTTCTCTATTTTATTCATTTTTTTCTATAGATTACTTTCTATTAACTCTTTTATATAACACATCAGCTGTGCTAATTAATTATAGGTAATATATATATTCTACATATGTATTTGGCCTTATTACTTGCTAATATGTAAAAGTGGTTTGGGAGTCATAGATATCAGAAATAGTCAATTACGTTTTACGTCCAAAAGATCTTACTAAGATAACCGTGATTTTTTAGGTATCGATCTGTTTTTTTCCACAATTTGGTTTCGGAAGCTTTGTTGGTCTAGATCGTTGTTGTTTCTTATCTAAATATCGTCTGATAGAAAAGCTTATACAAATTAAATCACATTTGAAATGAATAAAGACATGAACCAGTTGAGTCTTTTATTGTTTAATGCAGCGTTTGGAAAATAGGTTTTTGAGTAGGTGGACCTTCTTCATGGTAGACCAGAATTTCACTTTCGCTACGAAGACTCTTCTATTGTTGTCTATTTGCTAAGTAATTGTGATCTTAGCAAAAAGGTTATTGAAGTAACATATTCGATCGAAAAACACTTTTTTTTTCATACTTTACGAAAAGATTGTGTCACTATCATCAAATACCTCAAAGAAGACCGGATAATCGTATCATATACACGTTGAATCAAGTGAACAATTGAAAAGAAGTATTGGTCAAAAATTGAATTATTCATACTGGTATTGAATAGAACACTATCGGTAAAGTCTTTTTCCTGAAAAGATTCGTCGGTTCAAAACTAAAGTGTTTTTAGTAATTTTCCCGAGTTTTATAAGTTAGTTATCTCAGAATGTGAGGAATCGAAGGTGTCATGCGGATAGAGCATTCCAATGCCAATGCTAAACTCAAACTACGGAAGCAACGCGCTTCAGAAGGAAGTATCAGCTGAATACCTATGCAAAAAGATTATTTTCCACAAAAAGAGCTTATTCTGTCGCCGATTATTAATAAATACGGTAAACGCTCTAAGTTGTAAGTCCAGAATCACCCACAAATACTGTCTGTTCGTCTTCACGCAAGACACAAAATCGACTAAATTTCGCTATGAAAGCGTGAGTGGTTAAAACTTTGAATCTAAAGGAAATATCTTTTATTGAGGGATCCAATAGTATGAGCTTCAAGGATCTGTTCGGGAAGGAAACGTTTCAGAAAACGTTTTGGTGTTCTACCGAATTTTAGGTTGATTTTAGTGTCAAACGAAGGGAAATGAGAATATTCCACACTTACCTCTGACAGCCGAGATGTATCCCGAACGATCACTCTCGATCAATCGAAGAGACCGATGAGTTACGTCCGATTTATGCGATAGTCTCACAGGACTTGAGATATATAACTCTCGTTTCACGCTAATCGCGCTAATTTTGCCCTGTACATGCTCTAAAACATGTCAGACAAACCAAATATATACACCTTTACGGTGTCCGAACTTTCTTTTGTGAACGGAGACTGAATGTATGAATAGATAAATAAAGCAATAACGCTATATTCTGAGTGAGTGAGGATAGACAAACGAACAGGTCATAGATAAATAAGTAGTAGCTGCTGTTTTTTAAAAGTTAAAATTGACACGATGCAGTTTTGTCTACTGGTTTCTAAGATGTTTTTAATTTTGCTTGCAAGTACATGGAAAGTGAGAAAGACGCAAAATAAATGAAATGACTTGGGGTTAGAGTGAGTGTGGAGTCTTCTTGACAATATTTTACCTATGGATATTTTTCCCCCAAAGGTTTCATTACTATACTTTTACATTACTATGACGAACATTAACCACAGAAGTTATGGTAGAATAGACGATCCTTGGTTGCTCACCCTTGCATCCCTATGTATGTTTCCATAGTGGATGCTCATTTTCAATGAATTTCGCGAACCATACAATAGTTAGCCCTCATACGTTGTGTGAATAATTTAAAAGCATTTTAGAGCATCTGGTGCATTTTTGAAGTGGGGCTAATATTTCTAGATTGAGTTATGAATTTTTTTCGAAGTGGAACTCAAACTTCAAAAGTACCTCAGTCGTAAAATAGCTGTATTTGAGCAAACTATTAAGAGCTAACATTTCAAATTCATATCATAGATGGAAGAGAGTCTAGGCTTCACTTTGACAAAAAGAAAAGGTTTCCATTTGTCTTGGGTCAGGAGTTATTAGCACTTTATGAGAAAGAAATGAAACGCTTGCATCTCACGAACCATTTAGGAAAAGAAGCCTAAACTTAGTGGATGATCAGCATTCGGTAAAAGCAATGATCATACAAATTTAAAAGTCCCCTGCTGTCACGGTCGAGCAATGGTAAACAAAGGATTACAATATAAGACGATGAAATGGTATTGTTCTGAGACTGAAACGGGTCTGCTTGACCGGGATTCAGATTTAGCCGAATTTGCGTCACACCCTTGTGATTCGAGTCAATCTCTAAAGTGTCTGCTTTAATGTGATAAAAAGGAATACAACAGCTGATAATCAAAGAGATACTCTATAATGTGAATAGCTTGGATACGAGATAAAATAAATGTTGACTGGAAAAAATCTTGATTAGTATGATAAAAAGCAGACGTCGCTAGATTGTTTCGAAAGTTAACATTCTTTTGCGTTCTTTACTCTGTCAAGATAAATAATTCGCGTCACTAATATGACATATGACGGTGTTGTAAATTGTGAAATTATTTTGCGTTCTGCGATTTTGCACATAGTTCGATGATATAAAAATATGAAAGCTCGCTTTTCTTTATCAAACAGAACTGAAAAATAATAACTCAATAACAAGCCGATAAAGTACAGCAAAAGAATACTCGTGGTATGTAAAACAAAAAAAGAAAATAAAATGTATAAGACGTGTAAATGCTATTTTAGATGGAAACTTTATCTTTCACTGACACTGATGCAACCACAACTCAACAAGAAATAGATAAAAATGGTTATGAAATTGATTATTCATCACCTACACCTCGATTCTCAGTGAATTCTGCCATATCACTTCAAGAAGGTCTCGAATATTTGAACGAGAATGGATATGCTGTGTTTAGTGATGTGTTGACTGAAGAAGAAGTGAAAACAAATAAAAATTTATTCTGGGATTTTCTTGAACAGGCAGCGCATAATCAGATTGATAGAGATAAACACGATACATGGGATAATCATTGGTGAGTTTTGTAATTTTTCGTTAAAGATAATCTTACTAAATTCACTTTTATCTCAGGCCTGCCCGACCTTTGTCCGGTGTTATATCTCAACACGGAATTGGACAATCTAAATTTTTATGGAATGTTCGTAATAATAGAAATGTCAAAAAAATCTTTTCAAATATCTGGCAAACAGATGAATTGCTCGTATCATTCGATGGTGCAGGTTGTTTTCGTGATTGGTCTTTTAATCAGTCTTGGAAAACAGAGGGAGGATGGATTCATGTTGATCAAGTAAGCAATCAACTTTTCTCATGATATAGTCTTTGTTAAATGATTTTCTCTTAAAGCATCCCGTTCGAAAGCCGAATAAATGCTGTATTCAGGGTTTAGTAGCCATTACCGATAATGATGAATTTACTGGTGGTCTAGTAGTCTATCCAAAGTCACAAAAACGTTTCTTAGAACTGACAAATTTGATAACACCAACCCATAGTGGCCGTGATTTTGTTAAAATTCCTCCAACTCATCAAATTTTGAGACAGTCAGAATCTTCTGAGCTGATCAAATTCAAATTAGTCAAATGTAAAGCCGGTGATTTAGTTGTATGGGATAGTCGTGTTATCCACTGTAATACACCAGCAATTAAATTATCTTCTGATAAGACCAAAAAATGTGATCTGTTGAGAGCTGTGGCTTATGTTTCAATGAGTCCGACAGCATTTGTTAGCGAAGGTGACGATTACAAGACACTGGATAAATTTAGAAAATTGAGAAAAGAAGCTGTAATGAATAATACTACGACCAGTCACTGGAGTCAAGATTTAATCATTGCAAGTTAGTTTTCAGACAGGATATTACTGAAAATGAAGTCTATCTAAAATTTATCTTTCAGGTGAAGCTCCAAATCTACCTAAATTTTCGATGAAAGATTTAAATTCATATCAACGTTCATTGATTATTGGTACTAATGTTGCAAATGATAATGATTAGTAGAACGAAGCTGATTAATCAAGATAATGACTATATGTCTTTCATCAGTCAGATTTTTTGTTTTTCATATTTTATTTAAAAATAAAGCAGTGTTTGAGGCAACAAAATAAATGCTTGATTACTTATGAAATGGAAAATGTTTTTCATCTACGTCTAATGATCTGAGTGTCTAATAAATGGCATACATGTTTTCTTAATTGAACAAGACGACATGTTGATGTGTATCTGTAATCACTAAAGTAGAACAATGAATAAATGCATTTGTCAATCGAGTACATAAATATTTGATGATAGAAACAGTGAATGAATCTAGTTGATTCATACGGTATCATCTGTAGAGTATTACACCGCTTGTCTTCTACATTCTACCAGGTTTTACTTCTTCCGAGAGCTCATTCCGTACTGTCGTTACCAGTTATTTATGCTAATTCGAATGGAGGTGCTTTTAGATTAGTAACCTGGTTAAGCTAAGATTTTCAAATAGGTTAAAGAGGTTAGGCATGCAACGATAATGAAATATTGTCGGTTTGTCGTACCTTACTGATGATCATTATCGGCATTTTCGGTCAAAATATGATATAATTAGCTAAGTTTAAAGAAATCAAAATTTAAGTTAAACCTGCGGTCAGAGTACGGAGATGCTCCTGTTTATAGATCCTCTATACAATCCTTATTTCTTCTGTGCACTATAATGACTTGGAGGTGCTATTTTAATTTTAAGTGGTTGCCATAAAAAACCTTTCAATTGAATTTTCTTCCTCGCCAGAGCATTTCTAAAATTTGAGTTTGCTAGATCTGAGACTAGAAATTCGATTTTCCGAAGTTTACCTGCTGGTGTTGGGTTTCCAAAAGCCGACCTTCCTGTTGTAAAACAGCGTTTGGAGTTTTTCGTTAGAAAGAGAGATTTGTACGAACTTGAGCGTAACAGTTAAAAGAAGGGAAATTAAATTCTCTACAAAGTTGTCTTCAGACTCTGTTAAAAAAATAATTCCTTCATAATGGAAAACCAGCAAACTCAAGCTTCAGAAATACTCTCGTGTAGGAGAAAATACAATCTAAACATATTTTAATTTCAAATCTTTTAAGTTTAAATAGCACTTGATAGCCAATAAAGTGAAGGAAGGAGTCGAAACGCTCTAAGTAAGAGTGAGCATTTGTTATAGATGCAGTTTTCACCTGATTTTAGTTTTTTTTGAAGCTTTACGAATTTTATCGGTTTTGTCGTATTTTGACCGATAAAACCAAAACTATTATCGGTAAGATACGATTATCATTGCCGTTGCATGCTTAAAAGGAGTTGCAACATAAGAAGATCCCTCCCTCCAAAATAGAAGGCTTCCTTCGACTTGGCGTAACAAACAGGAATAGGAGACGCTCACCGACCTTTTTCGCTTCGGGCAAAATAGAAAGCCTACATCTTCACACTTATTTTCATAATTCTCGTTAAGATAAGTATGACTATTTGTTTCTTTTGAGAATATTCTCCTCGCGTGACACGACATTACCGCGAATACAAAAAACGACATTACAGTGAACGACGTTACCGCGAAGACTCGTTTATTGGAAAAGAAGAATAAATGAGCCTGGTTTTGTACTTTGTATATCATGTGGAGGGAGGTGGG